TGGTTAATAAAATGATATAGGTTTCAGGTGTACACTTCTGTAATACATCATCTGTATATTGTATCGTGTGTTCACCACCCCAAGTCAAGTCTCCTTCCATCACCATTTATCCCCCCTTTACCCTCTCCTCCTTCCCTCACCCCCTTTCCTTCTGCTAATCACTGTACTGTTGGCAGTGTCTATGAGTTTTTAAAATTAACTGTTGTTTTTGTGATTTTTGTTACAATACTTTATTTTCAATTTTTCGGAATTTGCTCAGAAAAAAATAATTTTAATGAAACAGGTTTTGTAGTGTTTTTTTGTGCAAAGCACAATGCAAGTGCAGCCTGGAACACAACCGTGAACAGCATCCCTACAGTCCTGCCGTTAGTTAGAGGGGCGAACTCATGTACTGTTTGTTTATTTATTTATTTATTTATTTATTTATTTATTTATTTTCTTCAAGGTAGTTACAAGTTTATACAAAGGTCTTATATAAAAACATCCTTTTCAGTTTTTGAGAAAAGCGAATAGATCTTTCTGATTTGACATCATTGATCACGAAAATAAATGCTAGTAGCAGCTTAAGAGCCTGTGCATGTGTTGTGTTTTGTGTTGTGTTGTGTTGTGTTGTATTATTACTACTCCTCAGTATAAAACAAATAGCAATGTTAAAGCCCCCAAAATGTATGTATGTACATTTAGATTTTATGATGAATTGAAAAAGTATGAAACTTTTAGATGGGCTTGATATTGAACCACAGATATCAATTATATACATCCGTCAGGCTAAAAATATGTCTGTGGTTCTGCTGCTTATACCCAAAGGAAGAAATAACAGAACTAGAAGGAGATGTCAGCGGAAGGTGTTAAAATGATCAACGGTGAACAAAGATTTTGAGGTTAGACCAAAAATAAGTGTTTATTCAGTTTGAAAAGACAAAGGAGAAATGGAATGCAAACTCATTTTCCTACCTAATTTCAGAAACTTAAAATTAGGGGCACCTTGCAGAGTTTGAAATAGATAGGCAACTTGAGTACAGCCATGGAAGTGCTGTCCTTTCATGATTGAAAAGTCACAAAGTTAATCACATTAGGGTACAAGATAAGACTATAAGTCAGGTCAGAAAAGGTAGCAGATTCAAAGAAGTTAAATAGACCTGTTGTCCTAGTGGGTCTTCCCTTCTGGAAACAGGCTAAGAGATGCCTTTGTGTTTTCCAGCAAGCATCCGCTGGGCCCCTACCAGCAGATTAGACTCTAGGTGGAGGTGTTGAATTCCTCCTGCTCATCCAACTCTTGTGAGACTTTCCCCTAGGCAACCTATTTCTGTGCCCATTTGCTTCAGGGTGATGACTTTACACAGCAGCCTGAGAGTCCCTTCCTCCAGGCCAGAGATCATACCTGTTTTCTCTGAAGCTCCTGCCTAGCATCTGGCAAAAAGCAGGAATGTTCAATCAAGGCTTTGGTTATTGTCTGACTCAATAGGGTTCAAGTTCTTTTCTAACTACCATATCCATGCATAAACCACAGGTAGCTTTTTGTTGAGGGTTCCCCCCGTTTTCTGATACAATATGGCCAATTAGTGTAGTCAGTCAGGTAGGGCATAGACACACCAGAGTTGAGTCCTGGCTCCGCCACTTCTAGCTGTGACCTTCCTTGGCCTCTCTGAACCTCACTTCACTATCTAGAAAGGTCGGGTAGTGTATCTACCTTCCTGTATTTTCCTGAGGATGTGCCTGGCACATAATAAACACTTCAGAATTGGGAGCTGCTGTTGTTATGATGTTTCTTTAGTACTTCATACATGTAGTACATTAACTCAGTGCATACCTTGTAGATGTTATAAAATGAATCATATATAGACCTGCCTTAAGGACCTCACAGCACAGGAAAGAAGAGTAAACAAGTACACACGGAGGGTAACCCATGGAGCCTGTTGGTGGGGCAGGAATTGCACAGAGCTTTGGGAGTTCCCAGACCAACACATGGCACACCCTTGGCCTGGTACAGCCAGAATTGCTTCCCAGCAGTTACAATTGCCACCTTAGTGTTCACCAGATATAAGGTTGTTTTATTTTAATCCATAGTATTAATAAACTTCTACCTCATTATATATCAGCATAAGCGATGCTGGGGGGAAAAACAAAAATTAGATAAGATTTCACTAAAATAACTGAGTGAAAATGACTATTAGGGTTCGGTGGTGTCTGTTGGGTTTTTTAATATGCAAAATAAATTTCACTAGTATTTTTGTTATTGAAGTTTCATGAGTCCAGAAGTTTAGAACAGGCTTCAGTAACTTTATAAAGCTGATGTCATCTCATTCTGCTATTGATGGTGCCCTGGGGTCAGGAATTCGTTGGCACATTTGGGACTAATTTATTCATATCATCTCTTGCTTTCCAAGGCTTTCAATAAAGGATGATGAATGAGCTGACTTTGAACTAATTTCCAGATTTTGTGTTCTTACTCAGAACAAAGTAAAAGTCCTGAGAAGAGCAGGTAGAAGGAAGTGGATTCGATTAATACCTTTTCAGAAACAGCAGGGAAAATAAGGATTGATTTCTGCTGTGGACCTTTTTTTATCCCCTTAATATCCACTTAATGTTTTCAGTGAAAGAATACCAATAGCCTGGTGGGCGTAATTATTCAAAATTAAAAAGTATCCACAGTCCCTTGAACAGTGAGTGGTCAAACTGTGGTACATTCATGCCAGGAAGTACTGCTCAACATTAGAAAGGATTAAATTATTGACACACACAACAACCAGGACGAATCTTCAGAGAATTATGCTGGGTCAAAAAAGCCAATCTCAGAAGCTTCCGTACTGTGTGTTTCCTTTATATAGCATCTTTGAAATGACAACATTATAGAAATGAAGAACAGATTAGTAGTTGTCGGGGGTCAGGAGGGAGTAGGGTAGGCGGGAGATGAACGTGGCTGTGAAAGGATCCTTGTGGTGATGGAAAGCTTGAGTTGTATCAATGTCAGTATCCCAGTTGTGGCTTTGTATGATAGTTTCCCAAGATGTCACCATTGGGGGAAACTCAGTAAAGCATACGTGAGACCTCTCTATTTTTTCTTAAAACTGCATGTGAATCTACAGTTACCTCAAAATAAAAAGTTAAATTTAAAAAAAAAAAAAAAAACTGGCCACAGTAATTTCCATGTGGATAACCCCTTGATTTATGACTTAATCCCCAAACCTTTAACATAATTAAATAGTACTGCAAAAAAGCAATTGCTTATTTAGCAACTTTTTTTTCTAATGTAGAAAACTTGGACCATATGGACAAGAACAGAATGAAGTATAAATAGGAAACTAAAGATAACTGCTGTTGCCCTTTTGGTGTGTTTCATTTGGGTTTTTCTGAATTTGTATATGTTTTCAGTCATAATTGGGAATATACAGTTTATGTGGTTTTATATTCTTTCTTCTGAATTTTATATCATAAGAGTTTTTCTGTTTTTAAAATTCTTTAAGAGCAATTTTCGTTTGGCTACATAGTCCATTATATAGATGTTCTATAATTTATGTGATCATTCTCTAATTATTAGATTTTTTTTTCCATTTTGTATGATAAATATCCTTATACATAGATTTTTTTCTACATTTGCTGTTTTTCCTTAAGGTGGTTTTTTGTAAACAGAATTACCGAATCAACGTGCATGAGCATTTTTAAAGCTCTTTCTTCTGTTTCCAGATTGCTTTCTGGAGAAGTGGTGGCCATTTACATTCTTACCAATAAATACATACAAATGGATGAAAGTCCACAACCAGAAGTAATTAGAAACGGCATAGAGTTCCAGAACAGAAATATCCAAGAGTTTTATCTTTATCTGAAGCAAGGTTTCTCAGCCTCAGCACTATTGGCATTTTGGGTGCATAATTCTTTCAGGGGGAGGGGGCTGTCCTGGACATTGTAGGATGTTTAATAGCATCCCAGGCCTCTCCCCCACCAGATGACAGTAGCAGAACCTGTTCCCCCCTCACCACCACAATTGTAACAACCAAAAATGTGGGGCAGAGTTGCCGCTGCCTGAAAACGACTGATCCAGGACTTACATGTACAACAGGACACGTATTCTTAGAATTTCCCTAACGTTGTGCACACTAATATTCTGAAGTCTCACCTCTCGGGGTTCTTGTCTTTCTCTGGAACATGAATGTACAGAATTAAATTATTCATGCAGAATAAAAGAGGCTAATCATTTCTTTAAGGCTGTGTAAGTGACTTTGTTACTACTCAGTGTGTCTCTTTCCCTGCTGATAGCTCTTGGGATTCCTGGTTATATAAGAGGAAATTTGAAGAAAGTGACCACACTACCATTTGCTTTGCCCTGCGAGAGTGATTTGCCCTAATATTTAATGTGGTATTTGGAAGTGCCCATCAGTCTACTTGCCCTTTGTCTTCTAAGTAAAAAGGGCCCAACAGACTGAGAACGACTTGGTTCTCTTGGCGTTGTGTGTGAACGAAGGAAAAAGAATGGATTGGGATATTTGTTAACTTAAGTTTGAGCCTTAAAAATCCTAAGAAGCCTGTTTTATACCGCAGGAACCCCCAGTTGAAGGTGTTTGTCCCTCAGATCTCCAGCTGCCTTTACCTTCAGTTCTTGATGGAATGCACCTATATGAAAGGCTCACCTGTGTTTCTTCTGTAATATTCCAAAACATCCTGGGGTCACAGGACCCACATTCATCTGATGTATAGCTCGCTGCACCCGGATCTTCTAGTAGCTCAGTTATAGTTGATGAATGTCCTTAATTCAAGTAAGACAAGCTTCAGTTTACTTTGAAAAATGAAGAGCACACACTGCATTGTTAAGAACATACACTCACTGAAAATACCCTATCCTTAAAGGTATGAAAATCTAGTTAAGTCTGTCCTTCACTAAGGACACTAACCTTTGAAGTTCTGTTTGTTGGCCCATTGTTCTGAACTGCAAGGTTTAGATTACCAAGGTTAGTCTGACATTGACTTTCTGTACTGGCTGTTTCTTTTCTGTTTGTTCCCCTCAGGAGCAGTCTCGCAGGTGCTGGACAGCCTGGAAGAAATTCACGCACTTACAGACTGCAGTGAAAAGGACTTAGATTTTCTACACAGTGTTTTCCAGGATCAGCATCTTCACACACTACTAGATGTAAGTCTTTCTTTTTTTTATTATTTTTGGGGAGTAAATATTTAGCATATCATTTTACTTCATATTAATTTTTCAAGGTCCATCATAACGGTCCTTTTTTGGTTGCTTTAAGTCTGTGGGAAATCATCAATCACAGATTCATAGCTAAAAGAAAGCACTATATTATATATAGCACAATGCAGTATAGCCTAACAAGTCACGGGGGAAAAAATTATGTGTGTGTGTATTTCTATTAGAAGAATCCGTTGATCTTAGCTGTGATTACTTTTTATTGCTTTAAACATTGTTTTGAAACATTGCACCTCAAGCATGAGTCTAGGAAAGAGAAAAGCAAATAAAATATTGTGTAATGGACTGTATTCACACATTTCATACTTAATATTGCTGGCTTTCATAGATTCACTGTTTTCTTAAAACATAAGAATATACCTCATTATTAAATAGGACAGGCTCCATTCACAGCAGATTGAGATACAAAGAAAAATCAGAAGCCGATAGTTCACATCTGCCTTCATTTCAGTCACTTTTCTAGTAAAATGCCTTTCTTAGAGAACTTGGTTCACTTCAGCAGTGAAAACTTTCTTAGTGCATATTAGTCTACTAGTACATAGTAGGGTATTTTAACAAGGAAAACCTTCCCTTAATAAGAGAACAATAATTGCTTTGGGGTGCCTAGAGCTTTTGGTGCTAACTCTGATCAGTCCACCATATGATACAAATTCAACTAAAGCAAAATTTTCTAGAATGTATTCTATAGAACATTGCTCTGGGAGAGAGTGATGAGTATTGCCATTGGGGAAGGGTAGATCTTAAATTTATTGGTTAAATTATTGGTTGACTAATTAAGTTTAGGAAATGCTACATTCTTTATTCCCTTTGTACAGATTTACCGTGGATGTTAGCATATTAACACCTCTAAGATGTCCTATAGCAAAGAAACCTGGTTAAGAGAATTTCTCAAACTAATTTGAGCACAGACCTTTTATTCACAATCCTGTCGAATTGACGAGCACTAGTTTGGGGAAAGCTAAACTAAGAGTGTTGCATTATGTTTCAACTTCACACTGGGTGTAGTCATAGGTATCTGACATTGACTTCTTTCCATAAATGTGGTCAAATTAAATTATCAAATTTTAAAAATTAGTTTGGCTTTCTTATATTTTATTTCTTGCTCACATCACAGCCTAATGCAGGTAGATGAGTGGAAGTCTCTTCCACATAGTAATTCAGGGATCCAAGTCTCTTCCACTGTGTCGCTCCGCTATCCCCCAGCACTTTGGAATCTTCCACTGCATCCTCTGCACACAGCCAGCAGGTGCAAGAAAATGGAAAATTTAGTAGGCTCAAGGTTGGAAATGGGCTGTATCACTTTTGCCAATATTTCATTGGCAAGTACTAGATACGTGGTTACCTAGCTTCAAGCAAGCTAGGAAGCATAGTTTTTAAAATGTGGTTAGTGAAATAAGTCAGAGAAAGACAAATACTGCATGGTGTCATGTATATGTAGAATCTGAAAAGAAAAAGAAACACAAAAAAAATCTGAACTCATGGAAACAGAATAGAATGATGGTTGCCCCTGGCTCGGGGGTGGGGGAAATGGAGAGAGGTTAGTAAAAGGACACGGACTTTCAGTTATAAGTGAATAAGGTCTGAGGGTCTAATGTATAACGTGGTGACTGCAGTTGGTAACCCTGTATTTTATAGTTGAAATTTGACAAGAGTAGAACTGAAGGATTCTCACCAAAAATAACCAAAGGATCAATATGTGAGGTGATGGATGTGTTAATTAACTTGATTGTGGGACTCCTTTTACTACGTACACATTTATGAAATCATCATGTTTAAATCTTTAAATATATTACAATTGTATTTGTCAATTATATCTTAATAAAGCTAAAAATGTACTCAGGAAGATAAGGAAATGATTCTTTAGTGTAGTTTATCTCAAGTGATTTGAGGACATTTCAGATTAAATTTATTTCAAATAACTTATTTTCCTTTGGCACCACAATCCCTTGAAATTCATTCTCTTTTGTGACTCGCGCCTAGCATTCCTCCTCCACCACCACATCCTCATCATGGTTGTCACTATTATGTGTTATTTAAATTAGAGTTTGACCTCTATTCATTGGCTGCTTGCATATCTGTTGTTCCTCATCATTGCCTCATATGATGCAGAAAGTTTTCACAATTGTGTGTATTTGCCACGGAAGTCATACACTTTCCTAGACCTAGTACGTGGGATGTATGAAAGAAGCTGCAGCAGAGCATGGAGATTTAGTTTATTTCCATGTAGTCTGTGGTTAGGTCTTTGCTAAGATTTACTGACCTTTAGATCAACGACTTTTTGTCATGTAAAGGCTCAAAGAAGCCCAAATTGGTTTTCGAAGTTGTATTTTTCTTACTAATATAGCAAGGTATCTGAGCACGCCAAGCTTGAGACTGCAGGGGAAACGCAAGAACATTTTTAGTTTTTACAAGGAGGGGCAGATGGTCAGAAAGAGACTGGCCTTTGGAGCTGAGCCAGGCCGCCAGTTATTGCCCAATACTAAACTTCTCAGACCTCACTGAAAACATTTATTTTGAATAACTGCTGCATTCTTGGGTAGACTTTGTTATAACTCCAGAAAAGACTCCGATTTTAGAGAAAGGAAAACATGCTTAAAGTTCTTTTGGGTGCTTATGCATTTATAGACTTCAGATGTGTCTACAGCATCTGCCCTGTCAATGCACCTGGATTTGAAAAGGAGCTGCTGGGTTGAAAAGGAGCTCTGCTCAGTGAAAAGACGCCACGTCTGTAGAATTTAGCAGACAAGTGCTACACATGAACCCCAGTCCCTTCCTGAAGTGCCTGACTGTAAGGCCGGCCCTGGGCAGTGTTGGGATGCATTTATTTGGTTTTGAAGAGCCAAACAGCCATCCCTCAATGAAAGCTGAATCATCATGGATGACATAGGCCATCATGGTCTACAGTCCATAAATACGGTTCATTAAGCTCTTATTTCAGAGCTAAGAGGCTACCTTTCAATAATGTAATCAATTAAGTATTCAAGTGCCTGCCATATAGAGAAACCTAATCGTTAAAATTTGTTAATACTTAAATGCTTGTGGTATACACAAAAAAAGGAACATAGTGTAACCAACTCTTGAGAGGAAGTTTTTCCAACTTCTACGACGGTTCATTATTCTTCCTCCTAATGTTTTACATCCCGCACTTGAATTTGGATTGTTTTGTTTTGCAAAATCAATGTTGATTCCTTTTTAAGGATTCCAAGCAGTGACACCTAGTGGCATAGTTTTGTGGACCATGGATTGGCTGTTACTTAATCCCACTGAGCCAGTTTATAAAATATCTTAATTATATTTGAATAATTCCTGTTAATTCAAAAATAGATAAATTTGAGGCCATAATTTTTAAGCTGGCAAGAACCAGGATTAAGTTCCTACAGAAGACAAAAGATCATCAATTATTTTATTTTTTCCAGTCATACTTTTAAAACAGTAACGAACTCAAAATTCAAAGAAACATGATTAGCATTTGTTTGGAGGAAACAAAACATCTGTCATGTTGGAAGAATTTATAGTAAAACAAAAGAAATACAGTGGTTCCACTGAGGGGGAAGTGCTTTCTGATTTGAATTCTAATAAAACATACCTAGTTTAATCTGTGGTTAGAAGTACGTCCAGAATCTCTAAATATTTACTACCCAGCCAGTTCCACCTGGCACACACATGCTCCTACTCACTTTGTAGGAAGAAATAAAGAGGCTTGAGGAGGAGCTATGCTTAGCCCAGCTTGATCCGGTATGTCTGCTTTCAGAAATTAAAAGCACTGGTGCAGAGATGGTCTGTATATGAAATATATAGATCGATTTTAGTACAATACAATTTAGCATGTGTATTAATTTATTAAAGCTGCTGTAACAAAGTACCATAAAACTGGGTGGCCTAAAATAACAGAAATTATTCCCTCACAGTTTAAAGTCCTAAATCAAGATGTCAGCAGGGCTGTGCTCCCTCCAAAGACCCCAGGGAAGAATCCTTCCTAGCCTCTTTCAGCTTCTAGTGGTTGCCTGCAATCCTTGGCATCCCTTGGCTTGCAAATGCATCACTCAAGTCTCTGCCTCCATCTTCACGTGGAATTTTCCTCTGTATGTGTGTGACTCTCTCTTCACATGGCCTTCTTATAAGGACACCAGTCATTGGGTTTAGGGCCCACCCTAATGCAATATGACCTCATCTTAATTACATCTGCAAAGACCCTATTCCCAGATAAGGTCACATTCTGAGATTCCAGGTAGACATGAATTTTGAGAGGAGAGTATTCAGCCCAGTACAGCATGGAAAACTGACTTTGCCCTGAATTGGTTCTTCAGGTGTGAGTGCGAATTACACAAATCTAGTATAAAATAGTGATATGTTATCCTGTCATTCATTAATTAGGCTTTCTTGGGAATTGGTGCTAAAGTGTAGTTATAATATTAAAGTGTATTTTAATGATTGATATTTTAAACCAGTTTTGGGTTGGAACTTGTATGCAATACATGGGATGGACAGATGGTAGATGTTTCTTTTGATGGACTAAAAAATCAAGGTTTTGTGGGGGGTTTTAGCTAAAAGGCATTTTGCAGATTTTATTCGGTGGTGATTCTCATTCTTCTCAATGTCTTGTAGAAATGTTCCTATTACGGAATAAATGTTTATTTTGTAAGTCAACAGTGTTATAAAACATTGTTAAGTGACACATTTATCTCTCTCTGCCAAACTCTCACAACTGAGTTTTAAACATTCACCCACCATCTGTCATACCTCCGAACAGCTGTTAGCATTTATTGCATACTGCTGTTTTCATAGTAAATATGACACCCCACCTATTGAAGATTATTTTCGTGGGAAGTCCTAAAATTATGTTTTCTGAAAATATAACTAGTTATTAGGTTAATAAAGCAAAAACTAATGGCAACAGACACTTAATTTAGCAGTTTTATATTAATTTATAA